ACACACACACACACACACACACACACACACACACACACACACACACAATGGAAACAACACAAAAGTTATATAAGGTAAAAAGAGAAAGCTCCCCCCTACCCTTCCCCTATACCCACCCTGCCTCCACACCTCTCTTCCATAGTACAGAGTTTGGTAGGTATTCTTTCAGATCTTTTCTATGATCACTTTTTTTTTTTTTTTAGGATTGGAGTTAAAATATTTTTTTTATTTTTTATTTTTTTAAAATTTTTATTGTTATGTTAATCACCATACATTACATCATTGGTTTTTTTACTTTAATTTTTTATTGTTATGTTAATCACCATACATTACATCATTAGTTCTTGATGTAGTGTTCCATGATTCATTGTTTGTGCATAACACCCAGTGCTCCACGCAGAACGTGCCCTCTTTAATACCCATCACCAGGCTAACCCATCCCCCCACCCCCCGCCCCTCTAGAACCCTCAGTTTGTTTTTCAGAGTCCATCGTCTCTCATGGTTTGTCTCCCCCTCCGACTTACTCCCCTTCATTCTTCCCCTCCTGCTATCTTCTTCTTTTTCTTTAAAATATTTTTTTAAATAGATGTATAATTGACATACAACATTGTATTAGTTTCAGGTGTTTAATACAATGTTTAAATATTTGTGTATATTGCAGAATGATCACAGTGAGTCTAATTAACATCTGTGACCATAATTACAGAATTTTTATTCTTGTGATGAGAACTTTTAAGATCTATTCTCTTACCAACTTTCAAATACAGTGTTATTAATTGTAGTTGACATGCTGTACATGACAGTCCCAGGACTTATAAGCTGGTACCTTTTGACACCCTTTACGTGTTTTGCCCACTCCGCACCCCCTGCCTCTGGCAACCACCCATCTGTTCTCTGGATCTATGAGCTTGGAGGGTTTTGTTTTGTTTTTAGATTCCACATGCAAGAGAGCTCCTACAGTATCTGTCCTTCTCTGACTGACTTCCCTCAGCATGAGGTCCTCGGACTCCATCCTTGTGGTTGCCAGTGGCAGAATTTCCTTCTTTTTTATGGTTGAATAATATGATCGCTTCCTATTAAAGCAGAAAATATAGTTCATTTAACGAAACCCTCACATCCTAAGAAATACCTCACGTCCATGTTGTGACGAATTAGAGACGTGAGGCTGCTGGGAAGATGAGAGCAAGGAGAGTGCCACGTAGGAAAAGACAGAGGCAGAAAGAGGGGGAAGAAAACCGGACTAAGAAAGAAGGGAGACGGAGCACCAGGCGAGGGGAGAGCAGGGGTCCTGGTTGCCGGGTGAGAAACCCGGGCAGTAATCAGGCAGGCTCGGGCTGATGCTCTCTGTGTGCTGTGCCCATGGCAACTGCTGGTGTCAGCTCGCAGCTCCCCAGCAGTCCCGGCTCGGCCGCCTGCATGCTTTTGCTGAGCCACACAGCGAGGCTTCTGCAGCTGGCTTTCCAACAGCTTTTGAACAACAGAACCTTTCTTCCCTAAAATGAAACCCGGTATGAGACGTCCACATACAAAGCCGATAAAGGCCGAGCTGCTGTGCTCCTGAGAGCCCAACCTCTGGCTGCTTCCCCCTGCCTGGGCAGCTCCGTGGCACCCCCAGTGAGGGTTTCACTGACCACGGTTTGGGAAATACTTTTCTTAAGGTGTGTATAGGCCGAGGAGCAGCAGCTTGGAAGAGAGGGTTGTGTATATAATGATGAAAGGAGTGCCTGTGTCCATTGGCTAATTATTGAAACTAGTGATCTTTAGGAGTATTTTTAGATGCTCTCTGATATTTTTTACTGTATAAAACATACGAAGATCTTGTACTTTGGGCCTGTATTCTTATTAAGAAGTCTCACTTGCAGGGTGACTACACCCTGACCAAGGTCCATAGTGTAATTAATAGTTTAACACACAGTGAGTGTTTTAATCTCATATTAAAGTAAATAAAATTGGAATCTGAACTGTGGAGGACGGTTTCTAAAATCCTGTTTACTGTTTTCTTTTTCAGGAGAAGATGGTGAGTTAAAATTCTTGTGTTTGGGTATGCCTCGGGTATAGAGGAAATGTTTTTAATGATCAAAATTTGATTTTTCCTCTGTTTAATTCAAAAGAAAATGTTTATCCTATATTTTCAGAAATAGCTACCAAAGAATGGTGACAAAAAAATAAGAGTTTTATAATGTAAATTTACCCTATGGTTAAAAAAACTATAAATTCCCTTTTACTTAAATGTTTAGTATAGAAACCAGGATTACATTCCGACTTCCCAATTATCTGGTTATTATAATCTACTAAAATATGTTCTGAAGAAATGGAGAGAAGTTAAGATAGTTTTGCCAATAATTGGTCTTGTGACTTTATTTTCTTACTGACTTTGTAACTTATAATCTCAATTATTGTAATACTTAATCTGGTGAATAGTGATTTATCAACAGTTGGTTATTCCAGGTTACCAGATGAATATCAGTCATAATAAATTGCCCCAAAACAGTCAAAATAATTATTTCAAATGGATGTTTATTTATCTGTGTTCGGAGACACAGTGATGGGCATTGTGCAGGATAGAAATATGTGTAAAACATGACGCCTTCGCTGCAGGAGCTGACAGTATACAGCAGGAATGATAAGCACTGTACATAATAAGAGGTGCTGCACATACAGAGTACAAGCAGTAGGAGGTGGTAGAGCTCTTCAGACGTGGGACAGAGCCTGTCTCCCTGGGGGGGGGGGGTGGTCCTGGAAGTGCCATTTGAGATGAGTCTTGAGTAATGGGACAGATGTAGTCTAGTAGAATCGGATCCTGTGTGTGATCAGGAGAAAATGGCATGGACCATGGAGTTGGAAAGGGAAGGATCAGGCATGTTTGGGGAGACCCTCTGAGCAGTAGGGAAGACTTTATGTGGGAGTGGTTTAAGTTAGAAAGGTGAGAGGCCAGATTATTGAGGACTTGGGAGCTCAACTTTCCCTGATAGCATCTGGGGTTTCTCGAGTAAACAAGTGAGCTCATGATGAATGGCCCTTAGGAAGAGTATGTTGAATGAATTAGTCTGTGGGAAGATGTTTGTGTCGTTTTACAAAGTGTGAAGACTCTCAGGAAACAAAGCAATTCCTCACCATCTAATTTATCCCCTAGACTCCTTGCTCCGCTCATCTATGTGTTGGGTTTTTCTTATGCTTTGCTTTTCTTAAATAAAGTAATGCATTTTGTGAGTTACTTATCTTTAACTATTTTGATCTGTATTGACTGCCATTTTTGTTCCACTCAGAACAGTACTGATCTAGAAATAGATCTTTTAGCATTAGTACATAGGTAAGTCAGGTCCCTCTGTATAATAGTCATTGACTTTTCTGAAAAATTATCTCCAAAATTAAGGGATTTTAAAGTTACCCCTCGAAATTTAGTAGTCTTAGATAATTGAGGTAATATACATAGCTTTACTGCTCAGGAAAAAATGGAATAATTACTGATTTGATTTTTGTATTATAATTCACTGTTTTTTCTAGAATTTTTAAGGAGTCCTATGGTTATCAAAAGCAAATTTAAAATTTTTAAGCTCTTTCACCTTCTAATGATTAAGATTTACATAATATTTTGACTGAAATGTTTTCTTAAAATTTTTGCTTAGTTAAATATCATTTATAAGAAAATTGTCCAAAAGTTGCTTAAATTACTTTAGGGCTTTATTGTCTAGACCCATATGCCAATTTTTCTACTTCACAAGAAGCAGTGGCCATTTCTAGAGATATTCCTTAGTCTGTCATAGGAAATATTTTATATACTTTATTTATTCTGATTTGTAAATGACTGTTTAAAATATTTTAACCCAAATCTGTGTGTGTTTGTGTGTTTTTTTTAAAGGAGAATCATTCTACACGTGGCTGGAAGGTAAACTTTTATGTCTGCATTTTAAATTTATTGGTTTCTTGGAAAAAATGTATGGATTTATTTAATATATTTTTGTAAGTTCAGGACTCATTACCTAGACAACTAATTGTGACAGTGTTTGAAAGGAAATGACGTATTTTAAGTTATTGTATTTTAGGATACAATGGTTTGACAATTTGGAGGCTATTGCTCAGCCAAGAATAATCAGCATTAGGGAAATATACAGGGCAGATACTGGCCTCAGGTTTTCATAACTAGCTTCTCAGTGTTATTGTCATTCTGTATATACCACTGGCCCAGACTGCGTTCTAGGAGCCATTATGCAAACCCACTTTGTAAGCAGAGACCTTCTTTTTGGAAGGAAGTACTTTTTATATATATATGAAATTGAGGGAAGGTAAATTTGATTTCAGAAGATTTTAAACAATGTTTACACATGTTAATATAGCCTAAACTTGTCTAATTAAAAGATAAAGCAATATAGATCCCAGGAGATACTTTGCATTCTTTTTTTTTTAATTTTTTATTGTTATGTTAATCACCATATATTACATCATTTGTTTTGGTGGATACTTTGCATTCTTATATTTTCTAGTGTTGAAAATACAAATGCTATGAAAATGGAAAGCTAAAACATTCTAGGATTTTAACAACTTTGTTTAAAAACTGGATATATGATGCTTTTAGAAAATTTACCAAATTGCCATTCATTTATGAAAGCAAAAGTTAAAATGTATCCATGAAAGATAAGCAAGTTGAATGATACAGGGGATCATAACCTTATAGGAACTCTACAGAGTAAAACTAAGTACTTAATTCTATTTTATGTCTGCTAATCGGTGATGTTATCTTGTGAACATGATTTCTCTTTGTTTTTAATGAAGTGTGTACATATATTGGCCATTATTAAGGTGAACGTTATTGATGTACCGCTACTACTAGGAATGATATTGATAAATGGCCTGTGTGGAAGACGATTCTTAACTTTGTTTCATTAGCTGTATTGTAAAGATACAAATTGTGGAAAGTAGTACTTAGGTTAAAAGAGGTGGTGAGAGACTCTGAATATTGCTAGTGGAGGTTGGGAGTGAACTGTATGGGCAATATTGAATTCTAGGGTATTCTGTATTAACCACTTTTGTAGTATCCTACTGATGTAAGCCCCTGAATATTGATACATGGTTTCAGAGAACACTCCTATTTTTATAGGCAACTGACTCAGCTTTTCTGAGATTCAATTTCCTCATCTGGGCATGAGACTGGCAATAGCCAACTATCGTACCTACACCGTGAGTGTAGATGATGCCTGTAAAAATGCCTCTGAAAATCACTAAACAGTGTCCAAATGTCACATCCTGTTATTGTAAATCTAGCCCTTTTGTGAGAGGAAAAAATTAGAGTCAGTGTCTTATAAGTCACTTGATGAATGTGAATTTGAATGAAATTAAATCCAAAAGAAAGAGACCCACTCTCTAAATTGGATAGTTGAATTTGCTTTGTATTGTTAGAAATAGAAGCAGTATAAAGAACACCCAAAAAACAAATAAGTCAAAAAATGGGCAGAAGACATGAACAGACACTTCTCCAAGGACGACATACAAATGGCTAACAGACACATGAAAAAATGATCAACATCATTAGCCATCAGGGAAATTCAAGTCAAAACCTTACACCAGTCAGAATGGCAAAAATTGACAAGGCAAGAAACAACAAATGTTGGAGAGGTTGTGGAGAAAGGGGAACCTTCTTACACTGTTGGTAGAATGCAATTTGGTACAGCCACTCTGGAAAACAGTGTGGAGGTTCCTCAAGACGTTTAAAAAAAATAGAGCTACCCTATGACCCAACAATTGCACTACTGGGTATTTACCCCAAAGATACAGATGTAGTGAAAAGAAGGGCACATGCACCCCAATGTTCATAGCAGCAATGTCCACGATAGCCAAACTGTGGAAGGAGCCAAGAGGCCCTTCAACAGATGAATGGATAAAGCTGTGGTCTATATATACAATGGAATATTAGCCATCAGAAAGGATGAATAGCTACCACTTGCATCGACATGGATGGAACTGGAGGGGATTATGCTAAGTGAAATAAGTCAAGCAGAGAAAGACAATTATCATATGGTTTCACTCATATGTAGAACATAAGGAATAGCACAGAGGACATTAGGGGAAGGGAGGGAAGACTGAAGGGGGGGGAATCAGAGGGGGAGATGAACCATGAGAGACTACAGACTCCAGGAAACAATCTGAGGGTTTCATAGGGAAGGGTGGGTGGGGGATGGGGTAGCCAGGGGATGGGTATTAAGGAGGGCATGTGTTGCAATGAGCACTGAGTATGTTATATGCAAACAATGAATCATGGAACATTACATCAAAAACTAATGAAGTATGGTGACTAACATAATAAAAATAATATTAATCAGGAAAAAAAAGAAATAGAAGCTGGTAAATTTTGCCTTTGTAAATCAGCTTTTGCAGATGTTACTTAACAGTCATTCAGGAATTTCAACCAATAAACATTGTACGTTGACTATTTACTATGTGAGCAGAATCATATCAGATGGAGTGCAGGAATATGACGGAAAATTATTTTATGTAGCCTTTGTTACTTACTGTGTTACTTAACATTTTCACGGGGACCTCAGTGGTCGGAGACTGCGTCATGCAGGGAAAAGCTGTCCAGCACTTTCCTGCCGACTGTGTTGTGTCTTGTTAGTACACTCAGTTGGCACATCTTTTATTTTTACCATTTTGCTTTAAGTTACCTAATTTTCAGTTTATGGAAGTGCATTTCTACTCGCTCCTCACTTATCACCCATCCCCATTTCAAATACGGAGCTTTGAGGGCTTTGCAAATGAGAATGGCCTCCTTGTTTATGTTCTTATTTTTAAGCATATGAATTTTCACAAGCTTTGCTTTGTCTGCTTTCCCTTCTCTGGTCTTTAGAGAGGTAGATTAGAAGGAAAAGAAAATGAACTTTAGATCTGATCATTTTATTTGATAACTGATATGATTAAAAGTTTTACTAGAAGAGAAGTAATATTTTATCACACTTGTTCATGATGTTTGTATACCTTGCTATCATGAACATTCAAAATTGCTCATATACTTTAATTTTTTTATTTTTAAAAGATTTTATTTATTTATTCGACAGAGAGAGACACAGCAAGAGAGGGGACACAAGCAGGGGCAGAGGGAGAAGAAGAACCGGACTCCCTGCTGAGCAAGGAGCCCGATGTGGGACTCGATCCCAGGACCCTGGGATCATGACCTGAGCTGAAGGCAGATGCTTAACGACTGAGCCATCCAGGTGCCCTCATATACTTTTAGAAGAAGTTAGAAGCTGCGCAAAAAAGAACTTAATTTCTGCTTTTTGGTGACCATTTGTACAATGGGAATAGTCTGGCAAGAAGTCTGAATTAGAGAATGAGATCTCAAAAGAATTGTTTTTTCCTATGAGAAGCTATATAGGGTAGAACATAGAGTAAATTGAAGATCTAAAAGATCTGGGGGAAAATGCAAAGTAAGCCACATTTTAAAAATCCCTCAGCTTATAAATGAGGTTATTTACTATTCCTTCCCACTATAGAAGCCCATTTTCCCCAGGAGTAATTAAAAACAAAAAATGAAAAAAACCAAAAAATGCTGTTGGATGGTAAGGGAAGGAAAAAGTGAATTGCTTTGCATTTAGTGGATTCTTAAAACTTAGGTTTTTGCATTTTTCTTCATTTAAAAAATTATAACCTTCTCTAGATTTTCTTTTTTATTATGGTAAAATATATATAACATAAAATTTACCATCTTAACCATCTTAAGCTTAGTGGCATTAAGTACATTTACAATGCATATTACTCTTATAATAAGAGAAAATCTTTTAAAATTGAGGCAGGCGTAGGATAGGATAGTGGAATTATCTTGACCTCCATTTGAGCAAAACCCTTAAGACTACATAAAATAATTTTCCATCATATTCCTGTACTCCGTCTGATATGATTCTGCTCACATAGTAAATAGTCAACATACATTGTTTATTGATTGAAATTTCTGGTTGACTGTTTTCCAGGTTTGGGCTCCTTACAAGTGGACCATACAGTTACGTAGAACTGGAGAATTCTAGGGCAGAGGATTAGTAAGACACACTAAAGAATCTGAGGAAGAAGAGAAATGGAATGCAGTCTCTTCTTCCTCCACAATCAAGTAGGTTCAAAGAAAGGACATGTCTAGGGAAGGGAAAAGGAGAAACAGCTCTTGTTAAGCCAAAGCAGTGACTTTGAATTATATTTGCTTTAGTTTAGCCTAACCCATGAAAAAATCTGTGCTGTTGCCTTCTGGGTAGTGTGGGAACTTGCCAAGTACATCCTTAGTGCTTAGATCTCCAGAGTCCAACATTTTCTGCCTCATTCTGCATTAAGTTATCATAGTAATAACTCCATTCTGAAGTCAGAATCTTATCTTTTAGAGAAGTTTGATCTAATCATTTAATATTATTCCTTATTTTTAATGTCCTTGAAACTTTTAAAAATAAGCCTGTGTACTGAATCTTATTGAGTCAGTATTTCCGTTATCTAAATGGATGTGGTTTCTTTTTCAATATTTTTCTGAATAGGTTTGTGTCTGGAAAAGAGAGTCTTCTATAAGCTTATATCCGGACTTCATGCTAGTATCAATTTACATCTATGTGCAAATTATCTTTTGGAAGGTAATCACATTTTTATGTAGAAATCTTCTATTAGTGTAAAAATTGTTGGGGGGGATATATATTCTCTAGAGGAAAAACATCCTATTTCTTAAAGCTCTATTATGTATTTCTCTTTCTCTTTAGAAACCTGGGGTAAACCTAGCTGGGGACCTAATATGAAAGAATTTAAACGCCGCTTTGACCCTGTGGAAACTAAGGGAGAAGGTCCAAGAAGGCTTAAGAATCTGTACTTTTTATACTTAATTGAGCTTCGAGCTTTATCAAAGGTGGCCCCATATTTTGAGCGCTCAATTGTCGATCTTTACACTGGAAATGGAGAAGAAGATGCTAACACAAAAACCCTTCTACTGAATATCTTTCAAGATACAAAGTAAGAATTGAGTATCAGTGATCTGAAATTCTGCATTCTGAATATGAATGAGATAGTACTTGAAATACAACAGAAGCTGACTCCTAAAAGTTAAGGTTAGGAAGAGGGAGAATTAGACCTGAGAAAGGAACATGGTCAGTAGAACAGTAGAACAGCCCCAGTCACACTTGAGAATAGGCCCTGTTTTCAAACAGAACTTTGAATTTTATGTAGTATCAAAGTTTAATGCTATTTTATTTTAAAGATTTATTTATTTTAGAGAGAGACAGCACGTGGGGGGACGGGACGGGAGAGACGGAGTGAGTGAGTCTTAAGCACATACTCTGGGCAGATTGCAGAGCCCAGCGTGGGGCTCGATCCCACGACCATGATCATGACCGGCACCGAAACCAAGCGTTGGACCCTTAACTGACTGCGCCACCCAGATGCCCCAAAGTTTAATGCGATTTTAGTATTTTTTCCTTTTTTTTTAACCAATTTTGTATTCTTCCAGTTGCTTTTTAAATTCAGATGGTGCTGTGTGTTCACGTGAAAGTGGACACCTAAGGGAACATTAGCTTTACGTTCTAGAATATACCTCTTAAAAAAATGCTGGTCTATAAAATTTGAGTTTACTGGTTATTAAAATGAGCATGAACCAAAGTTGGATTAAGAAGTGTTCAAATTATGCATTAAAATTTAAAACATCTTTTTAATGGTGTTGCACATTTTTCACATAAATTGCTTTTAAGTTCAATTTTTAGATGATTTTTATCATGTAATTTCTTTAAAACATTACAGTCTGGTAAATTAAAAAGCCATTTTTATGTGACTTTACTCTTTGAGTAGTTTACGTGTGAACTATTTGCCACCTTCCTGTGTTATTGAACTTTACATACAAGTAAATTACAAATTGTAAATATTTGTGGGGATAAAAAATTCTGCCAGAGCTCTACTACATAGTATGTGAACTTTTTGTCTGTAACTTGTCATGTTGTCACTTCATCAGGTCCTTTCCCATGCACTTTGACGAGAAGTCCATGTTTGCAGGTGACAAAAAGGGGGCCAAGTCATTAAAGGTAAAAAGTTCTTGATTGGGGGATAGGGTGGGGAGCAGTCGACTGGCTTTGTTTTAATCCCGTCCGTCTAAACTCTTCTTGCCCAGTCCTCCATCTTGTTGAAGTTGGTCTGACTGGATTTTACTATAAACGGCACAGAAAGCCCCTTCTCCAGACTTTTCAATTCCTTTCTCCTTTCTAGTTTGGCCAACTCCTAGGGAAGCCTCTGTTGTTAACTGACCGATGAATATGGTACCTCTGTGAAGGTCTTTTAAAAGGTGTTATTTTGAGAGAAAGTTTTCTTACTTTAAAATCACAGTGTGTATTGTTTTGATTTTAAAAATCATGACTTTGGCGCTTTGAAGGCAACAAATACTGTATTTTTCTGAAGTTTATTTTATGGAATATTTTATGGGATGTTCAAATTTCTGGAACTATTATGCTTTTGTCTTTATGGACTAACATAAAAGGCAAAAATGACCTGTTACCCTGTGATATCAGAGGAGAATGTATTTTAGGAGCATTTTCAAACTTCATGTTGGGAGCTCTTTGTTTTCATTTGCTTATGGCATATTAAGGAATACGTTGTACCCTTAAAATGTTCATAAAAATATTTGAAATTGACTGGCAAGCAGTCTTCTAGTGCAGCTCCACGCCTTTTATGTGCAATTCTGAAATCCAGAAAGCTCCAAAAACTGAAACATTTTTCATATGTTTGGTGCAAATTAATTTGTTAGCAAAACCTGACCTGTACTCATATAAGAGTATTTATAGTGCTTTTTAAAAATTCTGCTTTGTTTGAATATTCTTACGTTTTGCTACAGAACCATTAATGTATGTGACTACTAGGTGTTGCCACACACTCTGGTGGGGTGTTTCATAATAAATTATGTACTATATTTCTGAAATTTGGAATTCTGAAACACATTTGGCCCTGAGATGTTTTAGATGCTCACTGATAAATGAGCACTGAGTGATTCTCCATTGGTAAGAGTCTCTTGGTGCTTCTGAAGTGAAGTAACTTAGTCATGACTGTATTTTAGTTTTGGAAGGTTGTTTTGTTTTATGATTATTTTAGGAGTATATTGCTATTGTGGTATTTACCATAACGTTAATTTATTTTTATAATGCTTCCTATTTTTAAAGTATTTATACAAGTATTATACTTTTGGACAACTCTGTGGTTCTTTTTGTGGAGGAAGAAAGAAGATAGGCGTGGGAAAAGAACTAGCTGTCCTCTCTGAATTAATGGAAATTGTGTTTGCTCTTTTCCAAAGGTGTATAAAGGAGAACTTAAGTCCGTTTTTCCATCTCCTCCCAAGAACATGAATTACATGAGAATGGAGCAAAGGACTTTCGTGTTCCTTATTTTGTCTTTTTAGCCAGGGTACTATTTCTTTGGAACCTTTGGAAAGCAGCCGGATAGGGCTTGCTGGTGGCCAGAGTTTTCAGGCTGCTTGCCTCTAGCTTCATGCAATAAAATGCTTACCTCAGTACAATAAAATGAAATTTATTCTCTATGTTTACCACATGAAAAAGATGAGGAAAGTCTATTAACTACTGTTAGCCTCAGAGGAGACTGGCCTTCGAGTCCTAGAAACCATGCCCAGTTGCTCACAGGCAGAAGAATCCTCCCTGGGTAGGAAGCAGTTGCAGCACAGTCCAAGGATGCAGTTAGCAGCCATCCCTGGAGAGGCTGACTGGGAAATGCAGGGGACTGTGAGAGCACACCCTTCGTACAGCCCTGTCTTCATCGGTGCTCATGGAACGCCCTGTAATTACAGTGTGTGGTGCTAAGGAAAAAGATGAAAACTGATCAGTGGTCTAAGACCACTTTTGTTTTTTTCTGATTTGGACTCACGCAAGCAATACATGAAAAATAAACCAAACATAATATAGATAGATTTACTACTGGCTGTATGCGGATATCAAATGGAGGCAGCAATTAAGTTCCTTAAAAGTAAAAACCATGCATCATTACTTTTGTTTTTCCCATAGTGCCTATGTTGGTGCTTTGCATAGAGGAGCACCTCAATAAAAAGTTTGTTGAATTAATATGTGGAATGAATTTTATGAATTTCCATGGCTAGTTGTTTTAGGTGCCATGTTATGCCATACAAATCCAATTACTTTTCTTCTTCACTGTTGAAAAACACAAGTCATTCATTAATAAGCTTCAGAACTTTTATTTCTTGTATAATTCATATAAGTGCAGTTTAATTTTTAAGACTCTATGAGAATAAAAATATTTTCTGCATGTTAGGAGGAATTCCGCTTACATTTCAAGAATATCTCCCGTATAATGGACTGTGTTGGATGTGACAAATGCAGATTATGGGGGAAATTGCAGGTTTGTGTTTTGTCTTCTGTTTTAAAACTATTACCTTAAATATTCCTACTGGGAAGTTGCAAGTTTTTATACCCTCATTGTTCATTGAAACAGAAGATCTGAGGTATGATTTTTCTGCTTTATTGATGAAAAAGATGAATATGTTAAATCTGTGTTACATGTGTAAGAATGTTTTTCCTATTCTGTGTTAATGATTTTGGTTTTATTGTATCTGTTTCTGTTGGTACAATCTGAGATTTCTGAACTTGGTGGTTATAATTAGTATAAGTATTTTGTAGACCCATATAAAAATATATAAAAAGAATTATCAAATTTCCATCACAGAATTTGAATTTCAAATGGTCACAAAAAAGAAAAGTTCCGCCAAGGAGGCCCATTTCTCTCTTATATATATTCAGTGTAAAAAGGATCATTTGATGTTTTGTCTTATTTTTTTACAAAGATAAGTCAGAAAATCAGGAGACAGAATTATTTTAATGGAGACGACACTGAAAATCAGATGTTTCTTTTTCTCTTGTTCTAATAATTGATAAATTTTTAAGTGTAGTTATCACTAATAATTTCTAAGTTTTGAATTGCTAGGGGCTGTCAGAAATGCTTTCAAGGTTACATACTGAACATTGTAATCCTCATGTGATATTTTCTAGGTTAAGAAAAGGCATTTTAGTAATTTATGTCCAACAAATGTTAAACTGTTTAGGTTCCTTAACAGTTAAATTTATCATGCATAATGTATGAGGAAGTAGAAACTGTATTTTGCAGTTTGACATTTTGGTGAAAAGTTCAGTTCATATGAGTTTCTTGACTCATCACAGTGACTGCATATTCCTTTCAACCTTTATAGTAATTGTTATTACATTAATTTAATTTTTATGTGTTTCACTATTTTCTCTAGACTCAGGGTCTAGGAACTGCCCTGAAGATATTATTCTCTGAAAAAGAAATCCAAAAGCTTCCAGAGAACAGCCCATCTAAAGGCTTCCAACTCACTCGACAGGAAATAGTTGCTCTTTTAAATGCTTTCGGAAGGTAAGAATACTTTTCACAGTGAAGACCTGCTGGGTTTTGCTGGTTTCAGCAAACTTCAAAGATCGTCTTTTCTGCTAAAGTAGTTTGTTTTCTGCTAAAGTAGTTGTTTGCTTTATTTGGTCAACAAAGAGAAAGAATTATATACTGTCATATCCCTACTCACAGCCAGGGTCTCAGCAGGTCACAGGAAAATTAATAGTGTCAGATTGCCAATGTTTCTGTTTGTCTCCTCAATTTTGTGGGGAAAATATTCTAATATTCAGCCGGCTATAGCTTGGTCAAGTACAATAGCAGGAGTAAGGAAAAGAAAGCTTGGTTGAGATGGTGATGAAAGAAAGAGATTAAACCTTCTCACTGTTTGGGCACCTGGGTGGCTCAGTTGGTTAAGCGACTGCCTTCGGCTCAGGTCATGATCCTGGAGTCCCGGGATCGAGTCCCGCATCGGGCTCCCTGCTGAGCAGGGAGTCTGCTTCTCCCTCTGACCCTCCCCCTTCTCATGTACTCTCTCTATCTCATTCTCTCTCTCAAATAAATAAATAAAATATTAAAAAAAAACCTCACTGTTGTCTTTTTTTAAAATAAAGATTTTCTGTATTTGAGAGAGAGCAGGTGCATGCAGGAGCAGGGGGAGGGGCAGGTGAGGAGGGGGAGAGAGAATCTCAAGCAGATGCCATCCAGCCCAACGCGGGGCTCGATCCCACAACCCTGAGATCATCAGGACCTGAGCCAAAATCAAGAGTCGGAAGCTTAACCCACTGAGCCACCCAGGTGCCCCTGATTTTTATTTCCTAAGCAGAGGAGGCTTTTCCCCTCCATTCATTCTTACTCCATTTTTCCCCTGCACAGACCTATATAGTTTGCTTTTGGTTTATGCCACAGATGGTTTCAAACAGAATTTGAATTTGCCTACAGAGATACATGTGGTACCAGCTGAGGATTACAGAACAGAAGGAAAAGAATCCTAGAAAATAAGAGAAAATAAAACTGTGCTGCCCTGGAAAATACAAAGTCAAGGAAGAACTGTTTAAAAAAAAAGGGGGGGGTGGGAACCAAGTGATACAGAGATTATTTCTTATGTTTTCTTAACGTGCATTTTTAAGTTAAAAAGGGGGCAGTTAAGTGAAAAATAAATTGTTCCTTCCCCATCGTAGAAGATTATACCTGTTGTTCCCATGTATTTACAGAGGACTGTGTAGTTTGGGATTTCAAGCCTAAGCTAGACATGATGTCCATTACTGATGATGTCCATCAGTAATTAGTACTTCCCGAAGAATTTAGTTCACCCACTTATGAGGCCTGTAAATAAGATAAAGCAGGAGAAACTGAATTAAATTTAGAGTATTTAAATGTAATTTAAGTGAAAAATATTTTCAACAATTTATACATTTTAAATCCAAATAAAATTAAATTGAGAAAAAAAAAACAGATGTTAACTTCCTCAAAATGTCTCTGAGTCTCAGAACATCCATAAAGACAACCCTGTCGGCTTCAGTTCTCTATCTGGAGCCAGGTATTTCCTTCTACTATTCTGTGAAGAGAACTGGGTTCTGAGCCAGACTCGTTAATATCATCACCACACAGTTACAGAATTCTTTTTCTTGTGATAAGCTTTAAGGTTTACTTTCTTAGCAACTTCCAAATATATAAGCATTATTTTATTTTTTATTAAGTTTTTTAATTCCAGTGTAGTTAATATACAGTGTATTATACAATATTACAATTGTACAATATACAATATTATACAATATACAATTATACAATATTAGATTCAGCTGTACAATATAGTGATTCAGCAGTTCTGCACGACACCCAGTGCGCATCACGGCAAGTGCCCGCCTTCACCCCCACCACGTTTCCCCCATCCCCCCCCCACCTCCCCTCTGGGAACCATCCGTGTGTTCTC